TTAATGTCCAAATGTGTAATCCAATTGTTCCAAATGAATGTCCATGCAAAAGAGGACGATGGTATTGTCCATGTCTCAGCAGACTCACTAGCCTGACTGAAACATGGGCTGTCAGATTGTCCAAGTTGCTGGTCCTGACGCATGGATTTTCTCTTGAGGTTCTCATTTTGGCTTAAAAAAAAAAACAAATTTTTGTGTAAAAAAAAATAGTCTTTTCTGTTCTCTAGAATGTTTACAGGACAATGCCCCATTCTCCACCAACCTTAAGAAGATGACATGTCTGTGATCGCGTCCTTAAATTCAGACAGAAGACAATGTTTTTTAATATTGTCGATGGTAGAGACCAGCACGAACAACATACAACAAATAACAAGTGTATTATACAGAGCGAGGCATGGATACCTCCAATCAGCCAGCTTCCACCACGTTGTGCTTGTAGCTTGGCCTTCAGATAAGACAAAACAATGAAGTGGAAAAGTACAGGCTTCTGCAACATTGAATAGAATGATGAGTTTAACTTTAACAAAAGTTGTTAAAAAAAGTGTTATGAAAATCTCCACATTCCCCCCTCTGGTCAAACATTCACGTGTGACCATCAGATCGATAAAACAGCACATACCATCATAACTCAATACTTAAACTGTACTATCACTCGGTACTTCAAAAAACTCAGAAAACCTCATGAAAACTTTTTCAATCTTTCCATAAAACTTGTCAACAATCTTCAGTAAAATACAAACTTCATCATCAATGGTTCTCAGATATTGCTTTGAAACAGCTCTCTCCTCTCCCCACTTCTCCGTAGTTGGTTTCTTTCAGCTGCATTTGGGTCGAGCCATGATTCTTCTGTGACCGTGTCTTTCAATTGCACGTTTCAGCTTTAGTGCCAGATTCAGTAATCAATTCAGATCCAAATGAATGTCCAACATTTTGTAATCCAATTGTTCCAAATGATGTCCATAAGCAAAGAGGACGCTGGTGTTGTCCATGTCTCAGCAGCTCACAGCAGCCTGAGTGGAGTCAGGGGCTTGTGCAGATTGCCATGGGGCTGATCAGATGCATTCTCTTGAGTTTCACAGTTTTGGCTTGAAAAAAAAAAACCACATTTTTGTGTAAAAAAAAAAAGAATGCAAGTGTAATTATACAGAGCGTAGGCATGGAGACCTCCATCAGCAGCTGCCACAGTGCCATGTAGCTTGGCCTTCAGTAGACAAAACAAGGAAAAGTACTGGCTTCTGCACAATGATCGAATGATGGTGTTTAACTTTAACAAAAATGCTTAAAAGTGGTTTATGAAATATCTCACAATCATTATGGTAGAACTGTGACAAATGTAACACATTAAATAAACATCACCCCCCTTGTGTCGTGAGGAAAAAGTGTTCAGGGTAAAAATGTTCAGATTGAACAGATTAAAAAAGTTTTGTATGGATGACCAAGTCCATTGACTTTCATTTTACAGGGAAAACAATTCAGATATTTTTTATTTTATTGACTAACAGGACAGAAGCAAATTTTATTTTACCAACCGTTGACAGGCCAAGCCAAAATTATTGTAGGGGACAAATCTGAACTTTAAAAAGTTTTTTACAGACTTGACCAGTTTTGAATAAACACCCCTGTTTGGCAGAACTTGGAAAACTTAACAAAACTTGATAGAAAAACTTGAAGAAATTAATTAGAGCCTTCTACTCAAAAATCCTTCGCAGCTGGTTCCTTGAAATTTTCATTTGTAACTAACTTATTTCTTTTTTACGTGTGCATGGACCAGAAATCCAATTAAAATAATGGACATATTCTCCTGCAAGCGACTAAGTATATGGCACAGCATGAAAAGTTAGATTATCTTCACCCTAACGGCAGGAAATCACGCTCGTTTTCATGCTAATTCGCCTACTTATTGCATAGGAATGCAGCGAAACTACCATGATAGGGCAGTAGCGTTGCCTACTAGCTTAACTACATTTTTCGGTACGCTTGACAGTAGCATCACTATTACAAAACCTAGTAACTTTTCTGTATGCAAGCTATATTATTGCTCATGTAGCGCGGTAGCGACCGCCAAAGCTATTTTCTCACGACATCTCTGATGTTCATATATTACAGCATTTTTCCCGCAGCATAAAACAAACATATAAAAGACAGAATGCTGATGCCAATAAGCGCAGGCTTGGTAACAACAACACACACAACCGTACCTCACACGCACACACTCAGACACACATGCGCGCTCGCGCTACCTGGGGGAAGCAAAAGCAGGCAGAAAGCCCCAGGAGCCGCCGCGGTGGAGGAGGACCATGATAAGGACTCTCAAGTGTTGTACCGGGCCAATACCTCCAAAAGTATTTCACGTCTAGTCGAGATAGAAGCGAAAATAAATTTTTTCAAATGCCTACTCTTTGTTGTTTTTGGTGTTTTGGGATATTGTTCATAAAATCACAAAATGTTTAACCGTTAATCTGACTGACAGTTTATCTCAAAATATAAAATAAGCTTTATAATCTCACAAAGGAGAAATTACATGTCACATTTGGCATGGATAAAACACTCCAAGAATTGTGCAAAAAATAAGAAATGACAAACATGATAATGGCAGAAAATAGAAAATTGCATGAACTGCAAGTTTTGTTTAATTGAAAATAGCTTCTATATAGCAAGCTACTTTTAATTATATTTATGTATTTATATTATAAATGATTTACAGATGCCAGAGAAAAGGCTCCTGCTTTTTTTCTGAAGTGGGAGGAGACACCACGGAGCCTGTTTGAGTCAAATAACGTTCCAGCGTTATATTACCAATTATTCTCTTCCATAACGATATTCTCTCTTTTTGGAAAGAATCCCCACGTTGATGCAACAGTTTACGTTATACACTGAAAAAATCGTGATTAACATTTACTTAAAAAAATCCCGTATGTATTTGCACAAGATATAATTAAAGATTACTACTATAAATCAAGTAAAACTTTTTATTTCATCAAGTATAATCCTGAATGTTATTTGTAAGTAAACCTTACTTAACAAATGTGATTACTTGATCTCCTAAAATAATCACGTAAGGTGTTATGTGATTGTTTTTTAGGTTATTTATGTGTGAAATAGATATACTGAGTAACCATTATGTGTACAGATCAATTACAATAAGATAAACTGAATAAATGTAATTTATATTTTATCAGTATATTTCAATATCATTGCAATATACTTATTAAGTACTATATGTGTGTAACAAAATTACATATTAATGAATTATTAAGAAAAAACAATATGCAAATATCAACATTTAACAACCTGTTTATTGACAAACTTTTAAGTTCACAACCATCAATCAATGAAAACAAAAAGATGAACTAAAGCTGACCTTAAAATCCAGAACACATGACAACCGAAAACATAATATCAAAAAAGGAATGCAATGGGAATGAAGAGATAGGCCATTGATTTTCTATAATTAAATGTCATTAGCTTTAGATGAGATGATGCACCTGCCTGGTCTTTGAGCCTCTATTTCAGCTAAAGACCAGATGTTGTAAGCATTAGCCCTCTCGCAGTAAATCTCAATGGCTCCAGACCGAGGTAATTTGAGAAGTGCCGAGCTCTTTTCACATTTTCCCTAATTAAAACAATGTTACATGAGATTTACTAGATTCAAGAATAGTCAATTAATTAACATGTCCATGTTTTAATGACTAATTCATAATTCTAGTCTAAGCTAAATCAAAGATAAAGGAACAACATCAAATTATATAAAAATCTTGGCCTTTTCTCATATGCTGAACACAATTGGCTTCTCTAAATGTTTTAGGACAGTTGCTTGGGGACTTTCATGTTTGTATTATTCGGGGATGGCCTTAAATGCTCTATATGTAAGATAATCTTCCTGAAATACTTCGAAGGTGTATCGGAGTGTTGTAGATAAAGCAAGAATGAGGGAAAATAATTAACCCATTACAGTGCACAGCCTTTGCAGTAGTTCCACAAAATGCACCTGCTCTTTGATAGTCTCAGGGTTCTGTTTAAAGCGCACAGAGAACCATGAAGACAAAGGAACACACCAGGCAGGTCCGAGATACTGTTGTGGAGAAGTTTAAAGCCGGATTTGGATACAAAAAGATTTCCCAAGCTTTAAACATCTCAAGGAGCACTGTGCAAGCAATTATATTGAAATGGAAGGAGTATCAGCCCACTGCAAATCTACCAAGACCCGGCCGTCCCTCCAAACTTTCATCTCAAACAAGGAGAAGACTGATCAGAGATGCAGACAAGAGGCCCATGATCACTCTGGATCATCATCAGTCATTTAGGACAACATTGGATCATTCAAAGATCCTCACTGAACTTCTGGAGTGAGTTTGCTGCACTGAAAGTAAAGGGGCCGAATAATATTGCACGCCCCACTTTTCAGTTTTTTATTTTTTTTTAAAGTTTAAATTATCCAATGAATTTCGCTCCACTTCACGATTGTGTCCCACTTGTTGTTGATTCATGACAAAAAAATAAAATTGTATATCTTTATGTTTGAAGCCTGAAATGTGGCGAAATGTTGAAAGGTTCAAGGGGGCCGAATACTTTCGCAAGGCACTGTATAAAGAACCCTCACAGTGACTCTTAGTCTTTTACATCAACAGCTGACGATCGACACCTGGTTTTAGACGTTTTTAAAGACTATTTATTATGATTTTGATATTCTCTCCTCCTCTGTCTCCTCTTCTGTCTCCTCCTCTGTTTCTTCCTCTCTCTTCTCCTCTGTCTCCTTCTCTGTTTCTTCCTCTCTCTCCTCCTCTGTTTCTTCCTCTCTCTTCTCCTGTCTCCTCTGTCTCATCTTCTGTCTCTTCCTCTCTCTCTCCTCCTCTGTCTCCTCCTCTGTCTCCTCTCTGTCTCTTCCTCTCTCTCTCTCCTCCTCTGTCTCCTCTTCTGTCTCTTCCTCTCTCTCTCCTCCTCTGTTTCTTCCTCTCTCTCCTTCTCTGTTTCTTCCTCTCTCTTCTCCTGTCTCCTCTGTCTCATCTTCTGTCTCTTCCTATCTCTCCTCCTCTGTCTCTTCCTCTCTCCTCCTCCTCTCTCTCCTCCTCTGTCTCCTCTCTGTCTCTTCCTCTCTCTCTCCTCCTCCTCTGTCTCCTCTTCTGTCTCTTCCTCTCTCTCTCCTCCTCTGTCTCTTCCTCTCTCTCTCCTCCTCTCTCTCCTCCTCTGTCTCTTCCTCTCTCTCCTCCTCTGTTTCTTCCTCTCTCTTCTCCTCTGTCTCTTCTGTCTCTTCCTCTCTCTCTCCTCCTCTGTCTCTTCCTCTGTCTCATCTTCTGTCTCTTCCTCTCTCTCTCCGCCTCTGTCTCCTCCTCTTTCTCCTCTCTGTCTCTTCCTCTCTCTCTCTTCCTCTCTCTCTCCTCCTCTTTCTCTTCCTCTGTCTCATCTTCTGTCTCTTCCTCTCTCTCTCCTCCTCTTTCTCCTCTCTGTCTCTTCCTCTCTCTCTCTCCTCCTCTGTCTCCTTTTCTGTCTCCTCCTCTCTCTTCTCCTGTCTCCTCTGTCTCATCTTCTGTCTCCTCCTCTGTCTCTTCCTGTCTCTCCTCCTCTGACTCCTCAGTCTCATCTCTTTCTCCTTTCAGTCTCCTCTCAGTCTCATCTCTGTTCTGTTTTGTTCCAGGAGAAGACGGAGCAAAGACTTTCCTCCACATTTTTCACTGAATCAGTCCATCAAGCGTTTTCTGGACTTCTTTGAAACAAACAAGGACGATCTGACCAGGTGTATTCATGAACAGACGGAAAAGATTGAGAAGAGAAATGTAGCAATGCTGACTACAGTCATTATAGGTCTAGGAGCCGTTGTAGGAGCCGCTGCTGCTCCATTCACAGGAGGACTGAGTTTGACATTGGTTGGAATCGGAGCTGCTGCTGCTGGTGCTACTGCTGGTGCTGCTGCTGTTGCTGTTGATGATCTTGCTGTTGAATCTGTTGCAGACCTCATATTCAGAACAAACAGCAGCGGAGCAAAGAAGGAGGCAGTAAAGAAAATCAAGGCCACAAAAAGAAAGTTCATATCCACAGTGAAGCAGTTACAGACACGGGTGAACAATGTGAAGAGATGCTGCAAGCAGCTGCAGGAATACGACGCTGTGATTAAAGTTCTAACATTTAAAGTCCCCTTCCGCCAACTGAAGCCAGTTGGAGACATTAAGAGGAACTCTGCATTAAAGACTGTTGCTGCGATGGAGAAGATTCTACATGAACTTAATAAAACCAAGACTGTCTTTGAACGTGTTCTGCAACACATAAGAAGACAAGAACAGACATCATCTCTGGACTTAACCTGAAGACCTGCTTTGGATGTGAGGATTTACACGGGTCACTGACACACACCGTTCTGTGTTCAATAAGCTCACGGTTTAATAAAACAAATATATATATATATATATATTAGGGCTGTCAAAATTATTGCGTTAACACACGTGAATGAAATGTTTCATTATTGCGTTTTTTTTTTTAACGCATCAACGCATGTGCGAATGACCCATGTGTCCATAATATCACTCAGAATGACCCATGTGTCCATAATATCACTCAGAATGACCCATGTGTCCATAATATCACTCAGAATGACCCATGTGTCCATAATATCACTCAGAACAAACATCCTCCATGTCAGCGGTCTGTGAAATGCACTATACAAATAAACTTTACTTACTTACTTACTTAAATTAAAGCTGGGGTACGTAAATGTTCCCTTTCATTAACAGCTCATGTTGGTTTCGCCCAAAATTAAATTGTTGTGAATCAAACAGATTTAAGTACATTTGGTTTGAATGACAATGTGTCATTACATTTGATAATCTCATTTAACTTCAATTGGAGTGGATTTGAAATAGAAAGTTAAAAATGCGATTAATCGTGAGTTAACTCACCATTACTATGCGATTAATCAACTAAAACATTTTAATCGTTTGACAGCCCTACTATATATATTATATTTTTCCTTTATTAAAGACAACAAAACAGACAAGAACAGACATTCAACAAGAAAAAATAAGTATATAGGTATATGTGTCATGTGTGTAAAAAAACAGGTTCTTCGGACCCGGGTTTAAAAAAGACCACTGGATTAAAAGTAAATTAAAAGCAATTTATTATAAAATACATTAAAAATAAGTAAATGAATAAAAGCAATAAAACCTAAGCTAAAAGCCCGGGATAAAAGTTAAAGAGGCTAAAAAGCCTTCTGCACGACCTGGGCCGCCGGACCATGGGGTCACCCCTCGCCGTGTCTGTCTCCTGTGTCTCCCGCTTCGTCCTGCTTCCTCTCTCCGCCCCCTCCCCATCTCATTTTGCACGCAAGGCACAGGTGTTCTAATTGTCATCACGTGGGTAGCCGGGGTGCTTCGGGTGGTGCAAGTTCAAATCAATGTTAGAAGCACACACACACAAAATGCATAAAATATAAATAAAACCTTATTAAAACCCACCACCCATTTTGCACCCACCGACATATGCATTTGAATGTCATTTTGTATCTTACGTTTCAATGCAGATGCAATTTTAGGTGAAAGACAAAATTATCGCAATAATATTGTTATCGAAATACTAAACACTCATATCGAATATCGCTCTAGTTTCCAATATTGTGCAGCTCTAATAAAAAGTATGTAGTTAGTAAACCCTGACAATTAAAGTTTACTTGAAAAAACCATGGAAATAAATTGCGTATTAACTTCACTTGAATTACTCGAGTACATCGTTTACTTGATATTACCAAGTAACTCAAGTGATTGCAATAAAGTTTAAATTTCTTCTTATGCTCCGACTGGGAATCGTACTCAGAACCCTGTAGTTGAGAGGTAATGGTGCTAACCACTCAGCCACCAGGACCCCCTGCCATTGTCACACCTGCCTCATTAAAGCCTCTACACGTCAAAATGTCAAAAGTGAGGCTTACTTGAACAGAAACAGTTCAATTCAAAGAAAACCCTGAGTGATATAGCCAAGCTTTAAATAAACTAACAATAAATTAGTAATATTTACTTACTGGGAAAAATCTATTTAAAATAACTTTGATATCTGAAGTACGATTGAAGTTAGGGTTTACAGTGTAATATATACATAATTATTCAGTGGTCTGACAGTGTGACCTCACAGTGGTTAGCCTTTAAGGGATTGTCTGGAGTTTGTCAGAAAAGAGAGAGAGAGGTTCGTGATTTGAAAATTAACGACCCAAGCTCCTCCCCCTTCCTTTCTGATTGGCCTTGAAGCCACGCCTACTTTTCTGTGCACACGCCAGGTCAATGGTCCAAGACGTGCGGAAGAGAGATTATAAATATAAATATTTGAATATTTATTCCTAATTTATAACTCGCTCCTCACAGCAGCAGTAGAATCGCTCCATTGATTTGAATGTAATTTCAAAACGTTCGATCATTTATTTCTTGATAACTGACTCTCAAACCATTAATGGCCGCTGCCCTTTAGCAACACACTCTGTGCTTGTACTTCAGGTGTGTAAAATACTAAGAACACTTAAGATTTTATACTAAAGACATTTCACATTGACCTTTTGTCAATGTACATTTTAATGACATTGTCCAATATGGCCGCCACCTTGATGACGTCATGATATGTAAATTAGATGACTTTAAAGTTATAGCCTTTTGAAATCTGGATTTTAATTCTTAATGTTATTATAACCTTCTGATGCTATATATGGAACAGACAATAGTGATTTTCATCATATCATTTTCTTGCTTAAGAAAACGCAGTTTTTCTCAAATTGATCCAAATGGATTTATAGCGTTTTTGAACCAAACTCTTCATATATAATATATATATGTAATATTTGCTTTATATACGAGCACGAGCGCCGATGATTGACAGCCCTTGGCATGACTCGATTGGTTAACGTGGACGGCATCGTGGATTTTGAGCTATAGCTAAGAGAAGGGAAGGCGGGACTTACTCGTAATTAATAAAATGACTTATTTTATATCAACATTTAAGGCCAGGAGGTCAATTTAATGCAATTCTTAACATTTGTAATTCATATAGAGTTCCAGACTATCACTTTAATGCAGAAGAAGCTGATTTGAACATTAGCTGGAGCCTGTTTCCTAATATGGGCATTTGTTCTGACAGCGTTAGCTTTGCACCTTTTTATGTAACACAAAAGATTGTGAGTCAAACGCCACATTTACTTCAGTCACAGAATCGGAAGGATTTAGTGAGACATAAATTCTACAGCGAAGAGCTGCATGTAACCACGACAACCGGATCCCTATGAGACACTGAGCAGTGATGCGTTTAAGAGCACAGGGAAAAGCTGGTATTAGAAGTGTGTGTGTGTGTGTGGGCTCTTGTCTGTGTGTGTGTATTTTGTATGTGTGTGTGTGTGTGTGTGTGGGCTCTTGTCTGTGTGTGTGTGGGCTCTTGTCTGTGTGTGTGTATTTTGTACGTGTGTGTCTGTGTGTGTATTTTGTATGTGTGTGTGTGTGTGTGGGCTCCTGTCTGTGTGTGTGTATTTTGTATGTGTGTGTGTCTGTGTGTGTGTATTTTATATGTGTGTGTCTGTGTGTGTATTTTGTATGTGTGTGCGCCTGTACATGTTCATCTGTGAATAGTAAATATTGCAATAATGTGCAATACTGCAATTTAAGAATTTCCAACCAATTCACTTTTATCCTGCCAAATATGTTTTTAACTTTTCCATATATATTTTTATGTAACATTTATATTTAAATTGTATATTCTGTGAGCTTTTAATACTGTCCTGTATGTGCGCTGCAACATTGACATTTCTCCACTGTCAGTGAATAAAGGTTCTTTTATTTTCTCCTGAGTCATTTTTTCAGTGATGGATCGACTTTAATCAGGAGGTCTTCTCTTTCTTCATCCTAGTTTTCAAATGAATAAAGAGGCCAGTAGAGTAGAGTTGATTTTGTTTGTCACTTTCAAACATGCCTTCAGTGTTTTCATGTCTGTCCTAGGCCTAAACAATCCAGAGAAAAATATTAAGCCCCAAATGTAGTTCATCAATATCTTTATCAGTCATTTCATCTATTATTGATTACAAAATAAATAGAGTATTAAGAAGAAAAGGTGTCTTCTTCAAAACGTTCCCATTGAAAGTAAAGTGGTTCTGAAGATGCTCTATAATGAATGTACTGAAGTCCTTCCAGAATGTGGTGAGAGCAGATCCAGAACAGTTTCCTCAAACACAACAGCTCACATTAACACTAACCCTTATCTATAATTATTCTTATAAAGTGTCAGACTGTACGTTTCCCTGTTTCTGTTTCTGAAGGATGTTCATTGTATCATGTCATAGTTCATATTTGTTCATAGCCACACGGACAGACAGGCTGTGAGGCTATGAAGACCAGATATGCTCAAATAAATACTAAAACCATAAGATATTCTTTATTTATCTCACAAAGGAGAAATGTACATGTCACATTTGGCCTGGATAGGAACACTCAGATTGCGCAAAAAAGGGAGGAATGTGCAAACATGTTAAATGCAGGATATATTATGTACAATAAAAAAGTGGCAATCAGAAATAGTGTCAATATTAATATAATATAATATAATAGTACATAGATACTTATTTTGTATATTTTGTGTGCTCCCTGTGTCTCTTACTACTGTCCTGTCTGTGCGCTGCAACACCGACATTTCATCACTGTGGGACGAATAAAGGATCTCTTATCTTATCTTATGCTCTAGACCCAGGACTGAGGCTGTAGACCCAGGACTGAGGCTGTAGACCCAGGACTGGACTAATGGGTACAAAAGTGTGACAAAAGGCCAAAAATGTGATTTTAATAATCAGAAGATATTTTATGTTTTTCATGGATCCAAACTCCTCCTCTGTCCTTTAGAAGTTTGATTGGTATTTTCAGATGTCCACATTTGATTAAGATTCTATTTTGAGATTCTATTTTTTTTACAGTAGATACAAAGTGATACTTTTATATAAAAAACTAGGGCTGCAACAACGAATCGATAAAATCGAGTTGGGCTCATTCTTGTTCAGCTGTGTTCAGACTTTTTTATATAATGCACAAAGATGGTGATTTCTGATTAATTCTAATTCACTGTGGCATTAGCAGCGCACACACACGTCTGCTCACACACACACACACACACACGTCTGCTCCTCTGCTCACACACACACACACACGTCTGCTCCTCTGCTCACACACACACACACACACACTCTCACTATGCGCTCTCATCTCGCTAGGTGTAGTAATGCTTAGTCTCTTTCCTCCTATCTGAATCACTTTGGATTTAGATCCATGATTTAGACAGTAGACACCGTGTGAGATTTCATAACACTTTTAAGCAACTTTTGTTAAAGTTAAACTCATCATTCTATCAATGTGCAGAAGCCAGTACTTTTCCCTTGTTTTGTCTATCTCAGGGGTCGGGAACCCAAAATGTTCAAAGAGCCATAATTGACAAAAAAACTAAAACCAACATCTGTCTGGAGCCGCAAAAAAATAACAGCCTTGTATGAGGCTTTTATGAAGTTAACACAGGCTGCAAGATGTATTAGCTATATTAGCCTAATATCTAAATGACAAAGTAAAGGCTACAAATACATAATAATCATTCATGATTATCACTGCAGCGTGTCGCACCACGCGTGTCGTGAATGACGCACCACGTGACAACTCTGCTTTAGTTTAACTTCCATTTTTTTGCCTTCATGCAATTGTAGAAATACAGTAAATACATCTGCTTTGGGGTCAGAGGTCACCTGCATCACTGTCTGTTCATATCCATCACGTCACAGGCTGAAGTTTGCTGGAGCTGAATTAAAATCCTTAATGGCCTTTTCTTTCACCGTCTTTGAGAAGGTTTTGAAGTCTGAAAATAGGTGCTCTGAATTTGTGATGAATGAATCCTTCACGTAATCACCGTTTACGTCGTTTTGCGCGTCATTGTTCCTCGTGTTGCAACAAAACTTTTCATTACAAACATGAAGCAGTCCTTCCTCATTGACTGAAAGAAAATGTTCATTCTCATTCTTAGTCCAGTCTTGTTATCGACTCTTCCTCGTTTTAGCTTTGGGATCCATGTGCACCTACAGTCTATCATGCACACACGCCGGTTTGTTTACAGCAGCGGCCGCATGGGGCGGGGCCGCGTGACCGCGCGTCATCGGATGTTGACAGAAATGTTGAAATTAGATATTACTTATACATATTTTTACAGCATTTAAAAACATAAATATTGTTTTTCCTTCTACAGAAACCACATTCAAACTAGAAATAAAATATAGCCCTCACACTCATTTTCAGACATTTTTGAAAAGGCTCCAGGAGCACTCAAGAGCCGCATGCCTTCAGATAGACCCCTGGTCTATCTGAAGGCCAAGCTACATGGCACTGTAGCAGCTGCTGATTGGAGGTCTCCATGCCTCCGCTCTGTATAATACACTTGCATTCTGTTGTTCGTGTTGTTCGTGCTGTCTCTACCATCGACAATAAAACATGTCTTCTGTCTGAATGAAAGACGCGATCCCAGACTGTCATCTTCTTCAACCGCTAAAGTTATTTGACAGCTCCGTAAAGTCTCCAAAGGACCCATAAAAGGACCTCTCGGCGCACATGGCCGCCCTTGCGCCCGCCTGTTTACAAATCGTTGAAAATTTGCCATGTACTAGTCATAATGTACTTTTGAACAAAAAGTCACAGACGTCCATTTCAGCGAGAATTCTGCAAATTGTCTGAAAATTCTTATATATATATATAATTATATTTTTAATGTAAAAAACGGTGCATCCCTAAAAATACTTATTTTTGTGCACTTTACTTTTCAAAAAGCCAATATTTGCATAGCTTACATTTGCATGTTTTTTTTGTTTAGGTCCATGGCCATGTTTGTGAACAAAGGGATGGAAACATTTTTTTTTTAATCCAATTAATCGAAGAAATAATCGACAGATTAATCGATTATTAAAATAATTGTTTGTTGCAGCCCTATAAAAAAAAAATTACATGTGAAATCCAACCAGATTTTTCTTCTTCTCAAGTTTAATTTTTAGAGAAAAGAGGACGGAAACATCACGTCCGTTACACATTATTCAAGGGCCATTTAATTAATTAACTTTTTATTTTTCAACAATTCCTTTTTATATCAAGTGATTTACTGATGTTGTGTTAACCAGGTTTATCTTGTGGGATTTCCACTTTTTCAGACTCAGGACGTTTCCTTTTCTGGCGTCACAGTAGAACCAGTCTCAGGTCCAATCTGAGACTGATTTGGTCGTTTAAAATGTGTCTGTGTTTGAAATATTTTATCTAATCCATGATAGTTATTTTAGTTTTTAAGTTATAACCTTTTAAAGTCCAGATACTTTAATTGACACTTTACTGTGAACACACTCAACTGTGTCATTTCTCACTTCTTCCACCATCAATGTCAAACACATTATAATTATTTGACGTGTCTTTGTTGTGTTTTTTGCAGATCTACAAAGTCCATCTACAGAATGGTGTTCTCCTGTGATCAGTGTGGAAAGACCTGCAGCTCTGCTTCTAATCTAAAGACCCACCACAGAACTCACTCTGGAGGAAAACCATACGAGTGTGATCTGTGTGGAACATGTTTTACTAGAAAAGAACATCTCATGGTCCACAGCAGAATCCACACTGGAGAAAAACCCTTCAGCTGTGACGATTGTGATCAGAGTTTTAGACAAGAGGGTCATCTCAAAGAACATCAGAGGATCCACACAGGAGAGAAACCATTTGAGTGTGACCAGTGTGAAAAAACATTTAGGAGAAAAAACCAGCTCACCCTACATCAGCATGTCCACACAGGAGAGAAACCTCACCAGCTTTAAAGTCACAGACCCCAGCTTTAAAGTTGCAGACCCCAGCTTTAAAGTTGCAGACCCCAGCTTTAAAGTCACAGACCCCAGCTTTAAAGTCACAGACCTGAGTTTTAACTAAACTAAACTAAGACTGTGTTTAATGATAAATGATGAAAAGATTTCTTTATATTTGAATCAGAGAAACATGAACGCTGCTCATTTGGTTAATGACAAACTCTGCTCTGGTCTCTCTCTGGTCTCTCTCTGGTCTCTCTCTGGTCTCTCTCTCTGGTCTCTCTCTCTGGTCTCTCTTTCTGGTCTCTCTTCCTGGTCTCTCTCTCTGATCTCTCTCTGGTCTCGCTCTGGTCTCGCCCTGGTCTCTCTGGTCTCTCTCTGGTCTCTCTCTGGTCTCTCTCTGGTCTCTCTCTGGTCTCTCTCTGGTCTGGTCTCTCTCTGGTCTCTCTCTCTGGTCTGGTCTGTCTCTGGTCTCTCTCTCTGGTCTCTCTCGTCTCTCGCTGGTCTCTCTCGTCTCTCTCTGGTCTCTCTCTGGTCTCTCTGTCTGGTCTCTCTCTGGTCTGGTCTCTCTCTGGTCTCTCTCTCTGGTCTCTCGCTGGTCTCTCGCTGGTCTCAGTGTCTGGTCTATCTCTCTCTCGAGTCTCTCTTTGGTGTCTTGGTCCTGGTCCTGGACCTGAACCTGAACCTGGACCTCGTCCTGGTCTACTTTGGTTAATAGTGTGATTTGAATGCTGTAGTTTGTTTGATGGTTTAAGAGTCAGTTTTCAACCAAATCATTTCTTAATGAGCAGGTTTAAAAGACCAGAGCGAGACCAGAGAGAGACCAGAGAGAGGCCAAAGAGAGACCAGAGAGACCAGAGCGAGGCCAGAGAGAGACCAGCGAGAGACCAGAGAGAGACCAGAGCGAGACCAGCGAGACCAGAGAGAGGCCAAAGAGAGGCCAGAGAGAGACCAGAGAGAGACCAGAGAGAGACCAGAGAGAGACCAGCGAGAGACCAGCGAGAGACCAGCGAGAGACCAGCGAGAGACCAGAGCGAGACCAGAGAGAGGCCAAAGAGAGACCAGAGAGAGACCAGAGAGAGACCAGAGAGAGACCAGAGCGAGACCAGAGCGAGACCAGAGCGAGACCAGAGCGAGACCAGAGCGAGACCAGAGCGAGACCAGAGCGAGACCAGAGAGAGACCAGAGAGAGACCAGGACTTCCCTCAGACTCCATCATGAACGGTGAGTGTTTTTTTGTCAAAATAATACATTTCACACAAAAAGTCACAATCTGCAAATAATGAAGAAACTTCAAACGAACAAATTAACATTATTCGTATGTTAGAAGCACTGTAGAGCTCTCTCTGGTCTCTATCTGGTCCCTCTGGTGTCTCTGTGGTCTCTCTCTGGTCTCTCTCTGGTCTCTCTCAGGTCTCTCTCTGGTCCCTCTGGTCTCACTCTGGTCTCTGGTGTCTCTCTGGATTCTCTCTGGTCACTCTCTCACTGGTCTCTCTCTCTGGTCTCTCTCTGGATTCTCTCTGGTCTCGCTGGTCTCTCGCTGGTCTCTCTCTGGTCTCTCTCTGATCTCTCTCTGGTCTCTGGTCTCACTCTGGTCTCACTCTGGTCTCTCTCTGGTCTCTCTCTGGTCTCTCTCTGATCTCTCTCTGGTCTCTCTGGTCTCACTCTGGTCTCTCTCTGGTCTCTCTCTGGTCTCTGCTCTCTGCTCTCTCTCTGGTCTCTCCTAACCCCATGTGTTTGAGCAGGTGTGAGGGTCTTGCTGGTCCTCTCAGTCTCAGGTCAGTCCTCAGAGCATGTTGAGTCCTTATGGTCCTCATGGGGTGAGGACTGATGGTTCTGTCCTGTGTCCAGGCGTCCTCCATGGGGTCGTGTCCCTGAGGTTGTACCATCAACAGAACCAGGACCGGACCTGGTCTGAGGCTGTGTCCGACTGTGCCGCCCTGAACCTGACTCTGGCCTCGATCCGGACCTCAGACCAGAACTCTGCAGCCAGACCGGACTCGGGGAAGGTCTGGACCGGTCTGAGCCGGGTATGGGACTGGACGGGGGCGGGGCCTGCTGAGCCGATCTCAGCCAATGAGGAGTGGTTTGAGCAATGGGCACCAGATGAGCCCCGGGACAAGAAGAACTGTACCGCCCTCCGCACCAGCGACGGACTCTGGGTCTCTAAGGATTGTACCGAGACCCTGAGGGCCAGCTGCTATAGAGGTGAGACCAGAACGAGACCAGAGGGAGACCAGAGAGACTAGATAGAGATCAGGGGGAGACCAGAGAGACAAGAGAGAGACTAGATAGAGACTAGATAGAGACCAGGGGGAGACCAAAGGGAGACCAGAGAGAGACCAGAGAGAGACCAGAGGAAGAACATAAAGAGAGACAAGAGAGGGAGACCAGAGAAAGACCAGAGAGAGACCAGAGAAAGACCAGAGAAAGACCAGAGGGAGACCAGAGGGAGACCAGAGGGAGAGACCAGAGAGAGACCAGAGGAAGACCAGAAAGAGAGAGAAGAGAGAGACCAGAGGGATGCTAGAGGAAGATCAGAGAGAGAGACCAGAATGAGACCACAGAGAATTCAGAGAGAGACCAGAGTGAGACCAGAGTGAGACCAGAGAGAGACCAGAGTGAGACCAGAGGGATGCTAGAGGAAGACCAGAGAGACCAGAGAGAGACAAGAGAGAGAGACCAGAGGGAGACCAGAGGGAGACCAGAGGGAGACCGGAGAGAGACCAGCATAGCCCTGGATAACCTGATGCTGTGTATGTGTTTGTGCTGCAGAATCGGACCAGACTCACTGGATCCTGGACCAGTCCATGGAGTGGAAACAGGCCCGGTCTCAGTGTAAGGCAAACTTCACCAACCTCAGCTCCGTCCTGAACCAGAACCAAACCCAGGATATCCTCCAGGCGCTCCAGACGCTGGACCAGGCAGGTATCACCAACACTACCTCCTCCACCGTAGACCGAGGCTGTAGACCCAGGACTGAGGTTGTAGACCCAGGACTGAGGCTGTAGACCCAGGACTGAGGTTGTAGACCCAGGACTGAGGCTGTAGACCCAGGACTGAGGTTGTAGACCCAGGACTGAGGCTGTAGACCCAGGACTGAGGCTGTAGATCCAGGACTGAGGTTGTAGACCCAGGACTGAGGCTGTAGATCCAGGACTGAGGCCTGTAGACCCAGGACTGAGGCTGTAGACCCAGGACTAAGGCTGTAGACCCAGGACTGAGGCTGTAGACCCAGGACTGAGGCTGTAGACCCAGGACTGAGGCTGTAGACCCAGGACTGAGGCTGTAGACCCAGGACTGAGGCTGTAGACCCAGGACTGAGAATGTAGACCCAGGACTGAGACTGTAGACCCAGTTTCTCTGTGTTTAGGGGAGGAGGTCTGGATCGGGCTGTACCTGCGGTGGCTTTGGGTGGATGGGTCCTGGGTCCGGTGGTCTGGGTGGGACCAGGACCCTCTGGACTCGGATAAAGGCTGCATGGTTCTGGATCACAGCGGGAAGTGGGACCAGGAGAAATGTGAACAACGGTGCCCTTTCATCTGTCACCAAGGTCTGAGCAAAAGTATTCATACCCCTGAACAACAGACATACAGTTTGTTCCTGTTGCTTGAACACATTTGTCCAAATGTCGCTCATAGTCCTAAAACTCTGCACACAAGAGAAGCTGACACACACTGGGACATAAACCATTCACATCTGTCTCAAAATGAAACTGCTTTATCAAAACTCAAACTCTGCTCTCAAAACTGAACAATCCTTTTGTCAAAATGAAACTCTGAGGACAAAATGACACACACTTGCATCATGTGAACACACTTTCAGATTGTTGGCAACACAAACAGTACTTTATATAAAACACAAACAGTACTTTATATAAAACACAAACAGTACTTTACATAAAACACAAACAGTACTTTACATAAAACACTGCAGTACTTTATACTTCACTGTTTTTATTCTGTTTATCAGTTAGTTTTCAGTGAAGCTCAATGGAACTGTTTTGATTCTCAGTAGTACTGAAAGGTACAAATAATATCAACTCAATACAGTACATCACAGTACTACAGTACAGTGTACATCACAGTACTACAGGACAGTGTACATCACAGTACTACAGTACAGAGTACATCACAGTACTACAGGACAGTGTACATCACAGTACTACAGGACAGTGTACATCACAGTACTACAGTACAGAGTACATCACAGTACTACAGGACAGTGTACATCACAGTACTACAGTACAGTGTACATCACAGTACTACAGTACAGTGTACATCACAGTACTACAGTACAGAGTACATCACAGTACTACAGTACAGTGTACATCACAGTACTACAGTACAGAGTACATCACAGTACTACAGTACAGTGTACATCACAGTACTACAGTACAGTACATCACAGTACTACAGTACAGAGTACATCACAGTACTACAGTACAGTGTACATCACAGTACTACAGTACAGTGTACATCACAGTACTACAGTACAGAGTACATCACAGTACTACAGTACAGTGTACATCACAGTACTAGAGTATATACTGTACTGCATTTGTGTCAATGCAGTAACACATAAATACAAACGTCTAATGTAAAACTAGGCAGCTGTTGTGAGTGGGATTATGGATCATGTTCCTGCTCAGACTGTTTCCACACTGTTCCTGCTGTTGGTGAACAGGTGTTGAGCTCCTGGAGAAGGTTCTAGTCGTTCTGTAGAAATATGTAACCACAACTTGTTACTATTGGTTTAGTTTTTTTTTTTACAGTACTGTATACTGTACACAGTACTGTGACATCTCAATAGTACAGTACTATGTAGTTTACTCTACTGTGCAATAGCCAAATTACAATACAGTACATGTAATGCAGTAAAGTACTGTAAATACTGTAGATACAGTCTGCAGTACAGAGTTACAGTACTGTAAATACTGTAGATACAGTCTGCAGTACAGAGTTACAGTACTGTAAATACTGTAGATACAGTCTGCAGTACAGAGTTACAGTACTGTAAATACTGTAGATACAGTCTGCAGTACAGAGTTACAGTACTGTAAATACTGTAGATACAGTCTGCAGTACAGAGGTACAGTACATGTGATACAGTACAGCACTGTAAATACTGTAGATACAGTCTGCAGTACAGAGGTACAGTACATGTGATTCAGTACAGTACTGTAGATACAGTCTGCAGTACAGAGTTACAGTACTGTAAATACTGTAGATACAGTCTGCAGTACAGAGGTACAGTACATGTGATACAGTACAGTACTGTAAATACTGTAGATACAGTCTGCAGTACAGAGGTACAGTACTGAGCCCCCTCGGACCCCACCGCACTCCCCCGCCTCCTGCTCACCAGCACCGGGTGAGTACAACGGTGCAAACACTGCTCCCTGTCCGTCTGGCAGTGCATTACCAGTCCAAACACTGAACTGTGCTGACTCCCTTCTGACTCTGGGAGCTAAAGAACAACAACAAGGGTTTTCACATTTTAGGCCAATTGAGACTGTGTGTGTTCCTCGCACCAGCTCAAAAATGTTTTTAAATTCTAAAAAACGAAATCAAAACAGGACAGCAGTTAGACGGTCCAACTCTGCAAATCTAATTTCTGTTCCCTGTAGAAATCAATCAACCACATTAATCGACTCTGACGTTATTTTTAAACTTGCTATGCTTAATGTCAGATCTCTATGTAACAAATCATTTTTAATTAATAATTTTATCACTTCTTATGATCTTGATTTTATGCTTATGGCTGAAACATGGCTCGACCAAAATACAGGAAATGCAGTTCTAATAGAAGCAACACCACCCAATTTTAAATTCGAATCCGAAATACGAGAAAACAAAAGGGGGGGAGGCATAGCTGCAGTTTTTAGAGAGCACTTTGTCTCCCATAGAATGCCCCTTGGAAATTTTTCATCGTTTGAGTATATTTCTTTTAAAATGGAACAAAAGCAATCTTCTATTCTTTTCATTGTCCTGTACAGGCCACCACAGTCATGTTGCGATTTTATTGACCATTTTACTGAACTATCAATCAATCAATCAATCAATCTTTATTTATAGGGCGCTTTTCCTGCACAGGGCAACACAAAGCGCCTCACAGTCCACACCACACAATGCACAAATCATCACCATTAAAATACAATTAAAAACACATATGTAATTAAAAAGCATTAAAATCACATAAGTAATTTAAAAACATAAAAATCACACAAGTAATTAAAAACAATAAAATAGTTAAAAACACAAAAAGTTACAACAATAAATAACAAGGTGTGTTAAAAAGATAAAATTCTCTAGTTGTATGCACGGGAAAAAAGAAAAGTCTTTAACATGGATTTGAACATTGACAGAGAGGCAGCCAGTCTCACATCCTCAGGAAGACCGTTCCAGACTCCAGCTGCATAAATCTGAAAAGCAGCCTCCCCCTGTCTAGTCCTGACTCTGGGCACTAACAGGAGTCCCGTCCCTGCGCTCCTCAGAGTCCGGGCTGGTTCATATGGGACTAGCATATCATGGATGTACTTTGGTGCAAGGCCATGGAGAGACTTGTACACCAGGAGAGCTGCTTTAAAGTCTATTCTCTGGGCCACGGGAAGCCAGTGCAGAGACCTGAGGACCGGACTAATGTGGTCGTACTTCCTGGTTCTAGTCAGGACTCGGGCTGCAGCATTTTGAATATACTGCAACTGTCTTACTGCATGTTTGGAGATACCTGTGAGCAGGCCATTGCAGTAATCCAGCCTACTGGAAACAAAAGAATGGATAAGAATCTCCAAGTCTGCCCTGGACACAATATTTTTAATTTTGGCAATATTTTTCAGATGATAAAAAAAAACTACTTTCATTCGTGTGCACAGATTTTGATAGTTTAGTTATTACAGGTGATTTTAATGTACATGTTGATAATGTTGATGACAGAAATGCAAAGGAGCTGGCTTCTGTATTTGAAACCTTTGGTTTCATTCAGCACGTGAGTGGCCCCACCCACAGCAGGGGGCACACTCTTGACCTGCTAATTACAAAGGGGGTTAATGTATCAAATGTTAATGTAGTTTATGTTGCTTTGTCAGATCATTTTTGTGTATTTTTTGACATGTGTTTTGCTAGCAAACCACCAGCTGAATTTACAACTGTTAGAAGAAGACACATACATGAAAACACAAGTGAACTGTTCATGGGAATGCTAAATTTTGAGAAAACTCCATGCTCTACTGTTGATGAATTGTATAACTCTGTCACCACCAGTGTTCTGACTGTTCTGGACGCCATTGCTCCTGTGACGGTTAAAATAGTTACCAGCAAGAAAAAGGCCCCATGGACTAAGGCAGACTCGGTTAGGGCACAGAAGCAAGAGTGCCGGAGGGCCGAACGGAAGTGGCGAAAGTCCAATTTCCAGGGCGATTATGAAATCTTTAAAGATGAGTTGGGTGAATTTAACCGGGTTCTACGTAGAACAAGAGAAATGTATTTTTCTGACATTATTGGAGGTTGCAGTAACAATTTTCGTGTTATGTTTTCAACAGTTGGTAGATTAACGAACCCCCCTGTAAAGTTGCCCCTAGAATTTTCCTCTAAATCTAGGTGTAATGAGTTCGCACAGTTTTTCGATGACAAAGTACAAGGAATCAAAAACACTATCACCTCCACAGCACGTATAACAATGCAACAGCCAGAGAAGCTTTTTGAGCTAACTCACTTTGCACCTGTGGATACTGAAACTGTCAAAAAGATAATCATGAGTCTGAGCTCCTCCACATGTAGCCTGGATATATTGCCCTCTAAATTTCTGAAGTCCGTCCTGAGCAGTTTGTTACCTTCACTGACACAAATAGTAAACATGTCTCTGTCGTCAGGAACATTTCCTATGGCCCTAAAAACAGCAGTCATAAGACCTCTCCTAAAAAAGAGCAGTCTGGATCCTGCGGGACTTCAAAATTATCGCCCCATATCGAATCTGCCATTTATTGGAAAAATTCTTGAAAAAGTGGCCTCCCAACAACTTACTGAATTTTTAACAATGAATAATTCTTTTGATATGTTCCAGTCTGGGTTTAGACCCCACCACAGCACTGAGACCGCTCTAGTGAAGGTAACAAACGACATTCGACTTCACACTGATGCAGGTAAAGTCACAGTTTTGGTCATGTTAGATCTTAGTGCCGCGTTCGACACTGTCGACCATGAGATCCTCATGCAGAGACTGGAGGACTGGGTTGGTGTCACTGGCACAGCCCTAGACTGGTTTAGGTCTTACCTGGAGGATAGGAAGTACTCTGTGGAGATTGGAGACTGCGTCTCAGATGATGTGGCCCTGACCTGTGGTGTACCACAGGGGTCGATCCTGGGACCTCTCCTATTTAATCTCTACATGCTGCCGTTAGGTCAGTTAATACAAAGAAACAAAGTGTCCTACCACAATTACGCTGACGACACTCAGATCTATGTTCTCACTGACTGCAGGAGAACATGGACCACTGGATTTGCTCCTTCACTGTATCCAACAGATCAGTGACTGGATGCAAAATAATTTCCTCCAGCTAAATGCAGACAAAACCGAAATCATTGTCTTTGGTCCCCAGAAACAAAGAGAGGGCGTCATTTGTCAACTTCAGTCTCTCTCCCTACTTCCTTCAGACAAGGTCAGAAATTTGGGGGTAATACTGGACTCAGACCTAAATTTCAATAGCCACATAAAATCAATAACATCAACAGCTTTTTACCATCTGAAGAACATTGCCAAAGTTAGAAATATAGTGTCCAGGGCAGACTTGGAGATTCTTGTCCATGCATTTGTCTCCAGCAGGCTAGACTACTGCGATGGCCTGCTTACAGGTCTGTCCAAACAGACCTGTAAGCAGCTGCAGTACATTCAAAATGCAGCAGCTAGAGTCCTGACAGGAACCAGGAAGTATGACCATATTAGTCCGGTCCTCAGGTCTCTGCACTGGCTTCCTGTGGCTCAAAGAATAGATTTTAAAACGGCTCTGCTTGTGTACAAGTCTCTCCATGGCCTTGCACCAGAATACATTAGTGACATGTTGGTGTCATATGAACCGGCCCGGACTCTGAGGAGCACAGGGACTGGCCTCCTGCTGGTGCCCAGAGTGAGAACCAAACATGGGGAGGCTGCGTTTCAGATCCATGCAGCTAAGATCTGGAACAATCTCCCTGAAAATGTGAGGGAGGCGTCTACTCTGTCAATGTTCAAATCCAGGTTAAAGACTGTTCTGTTTGCCTGTGCATATAACTGAAGGATTTTATCTCCATTTTTAATGCACTGCTGTCATTTATTTATTTTTTTAAATTTCTTGTGTAATTTTGAAAGTTTTAATGGTTTTATTCTTTTGTGTGATTTTAATGTTTTAATTGTGTTTTAATCTTTTGTGTGATTTTAATGTTTTAATTGTGATTCTGGTGTTTGTTTTATGTGATGATTTGTGATGTGGACTGTGAAGCGCTTTGTGTTGCCCTGTGTATGAAAGGCGCTCTACAAATAAACTTTGATTGATTGATTGATTGATAAATACTGTAGATACAGTCTGCAGTACAGAGGTACAGTACTGTAAATACTGTAGATACAGTCTGCAGTACAGAGGTACAGTACTGTAAATACTGTAGATACAGGCTGCAGTACACAGGTACAGTACTGTAAATACTGTAGATACAGTCTGCAGTACACAGGTACAGTACTGTAAATACTGTAGATACAGTCTGCAGTACAGGGGTACAGTACTGTAAATACTGTAGATACAGTTTGCAGTACAGAGGTACAGTACTGTAAATACTGTAGATACAGTCTGCAGTACAGGGGTACAGTACATGTTGGAGACATGTTTCCATCTGAAGGTCCTGATGCTGCAGCTGTGTCTGACTCTTGCTTCTCTCAGTGTGAGGTCAGGATTGATCACAAAAGTTGCTCTAATGTCAGAAATATCTTCAACTACAACTTCCTCCTTGTCTTCCTCTCTCTTCCTCTTCCTCTCTCTTGCTCTTCCTCTTCCTCTCTCTTGCTCTTCCTCTTCCTCTCTCTCTTGCTCTTCCTTCCTTCAAACCTTAAAAGTTCTGAAAATGGCTAAACTGAGGCCTGTTTGTGTCTGTCTGATGTGTGTCGCGTTTTGTATATCAGTGTTTTCAAGTGTGTACTTTTGTTTAAGGAATGGTCAGTCTGTGTTTTAGGTTCAGTACAAAAGTTTCCGGTTCTGTAACTTGTTCCGGTTCTGTAACTTGTTCCGGTTCTGTAACTTGTTCCGGTTCTGTAACTTGTTCCGGTTCTGTAACTTGTTCCGGTTCTGTAACTTGTGTAGATGTTCCGGAGGTGAAAATGAAAAGAACCAAAGTGAAGCTCCGTCTAAGTTCTGGATCCGCTGATCTCACTGACCCCAAGATCCACCGGGCTCTGCTCACCCAGGTCCAGACCAGACCAGGACCAGACCAGGACCAGAACAGACCAGGACCAGGACCAGACCAGGACCAGACCAGACCAGGACCAGACCAGGACCAGACCAGGACCAGACCAGGACCAGACCAGACCAGGACCAGACCAGACCAGACCAGGACCAGGACCAGACCAGACCAGGCTATAGATGCGGTCTCCATATGGAACTATTATTGTTTCAATAATATTTGTGTGTGCGTAAAAAGATTTGTGTGTGTAATTTGACATTTGTATCTGTAACAGAACAATCTGTGTGTAAATAACCACGTTGCAGTGTTGTGTGTGAACGAGTTCAAAAGAACGCGCTCATTTTTTTGTGAACGTTGAACTGAACGCAACACATTTTAAAAAAAAGAACTTGAACGTGAATTAGTTCATTTGATGTGTCATGAACGGCAGACATCTCTATGAACGTTGGAATCTGTTTTCTCTTTTGAAACGCAACGAGAGAAAGTTCCTCCCTCCTGTATTCTCGCACTTTTTCCGCCGAAGTCTAAAAATTCCTACGGTTTCCACCGTCTGTGAACGCACCCCGACTCGTGTTGCGGTGCGGCGCGTTGGTTAGCAACAAAGTTTACACCGTTTACATTTGACATAAAGTATAGACACAGGCACTGCAGCACATTACTGTCTGTAGTTTATGAGCAGAGATGGAACAACTCCGTTTGGCTCCCATTGAAAACCATGTAAATCTGGTCTGTTTTGTAGTCAAAAGACTCTCCTCCTGTGGGTGTACAAGAGATGTGTATATATATATATATATATATATATATAATATTATAGCTCGTAGTGTGAAAAAAGTATTTGACTATTTCACAAAAAAAGTAAAATGAACTGAACTTTGAACTAGTTCAGAAAAGCTGTGAACTGGCACAACACTGCCACGTTGTACGAAGAGAAGAACGGACAAAAGCCAAAGTGCTACGCACAGGCTCTGTTTTACACACAAATCTCTTTTTGACACACCTCTGCCGCTTAGAGTGTGTCAAAAAGATTTGTACGTGTAATGTGGTTGTTCTAGCAGTACACCAGCAGATGGTGCTGTTGTAGCTGGTTATTACCATGGATCTATTATATTAACTGGATAGGGTATTACTAGCTTGTAGCTGAATAACTCACGTGCTCAGGGGATTCTCGCGGTACTGCAGACTGAACCAGACTAAATTCACGTGGGCTACCCAGAAATGTTCCCCATAGAACTCAATGCAAATTAAAACAGCTCAACCTCAGCTGACAGAGAACCTACAGCTTTAATAAAGACCGGATTTTGTGGGGATTTTAGTGTCCCTTGTCATCCTGAACTTTTTTTCTTCTTAAATCCTTCGGTTTTGTTTAAATCCACACTTTAGTGCCACAAACTCTGCTCCTCTGGCTCTCGCTCGAACTCCCGCTCTGATGAACTGCTCTGATTGGTCAGAGCGCGGTCGAGCCCCTCTGTGCACGTGCGTGAGACCCGGTGTGAGACCCACACACGCGTGTTTGGCGCAACGCATTACGGGAGATCATCCACTGCACAGAACCGGGAGGACCAGACAATGCCCAAATACAGGAGAGTTTCCCATAGATCTTTGCGAGTTTCAGGCAACTTCCGCTAATCTTTCAGCCCCCATGCCGTCACAAAGCGCCACTGAGCACAACCATTCATTTGAATAGGGCGCCATCTTGGATCGCCGGGGCTTGGTTATTACCTACAGGCAAACAAACCAAAACCTACTGCCTTGACAAGACACTCTACCGCAGCTGTTTATGATATTTTTTTCCTATATTCAAAATCCTGTCATTCACACCACTGTATGATACATGGATCTATTATAATAACTGGTTTGGGTGTTACTAGCTCGGAGCTGAGGGATTCTCGCGTACTGCAGATTAAATTCACGTGGGCTACACAGACATTTTCTCCATATAACTCAAAGTAAACTAAAACAGCTGACAGAGAACCTACAGCTTTCATAAAGGTCGGATTTTGTGGGAATTTTAGAGTCCCTTGTCATCCTGAACTTTTCTTCTTAAATCCTTCGGTTTTCTTTAAATATACACTTAAGTGCCACAAACTCTGTTGGTTTGCTTGCATGTATAACCAGCTACAACAGCACCATCTGCCAAGAGCCCACTTTAGGACCATCTAAAGACGTTTTCGAGAGGTCTGCCAATGCTATATGTCGGCATTGGCTAATTCTACTTCTGGGTCCACCCCCACAGGCCCGGGGTGGTATTGCAGCATGTCAGCGCACGTCATTTTGGCCACTTTTGAGCCGGGACCCGCCCCCACTGGTGTTGACTCCAACAGCAGACTCCTCCCACTTCAGTTTCAGAGGAAGTAGAAGGAGTCTGCTCTGATTGGTCCAGTCCAGAGGCCCCTGAGGTCAAGAGGCCCCTGAGGTCACCAGAGGCCCCTGAGTGAACCCAGACCTTTAGTCCAGTTTTGGGGGGCATGGTGGCTGAGTGGATAGCACTCTCGCCTCTCAGCAAGAAGGTCCTGGGTTCGAATCCCGGTCGGACCAGGGCCTTTCTGAGTGGAGTTTGCATGTTCTCCCCGTGTCTGCATAGGTTTCCTCCGGGTACTCTGGTTTCCCCTACCATTAAAAACATGTACAATAGGTCTGGCATGTGCCTCCTGTACTGGCCCCGCTCCCATCTCTGTGAGGAGTGAGAGACTAATGCCCAAAAAATAACAATTGTAAACCACTTTGAGACTCTGGTCTGCAGTGACAAGGCGCTATATAAATAAATATTACTTACTTACTTAGTTTAATGATAAAGAACAAGATTCATGTGAACATTGATTGAAAGTTAGCAATGTGTTATCTCTGGTCTCTCTCTGGTCTCACTCTGGTCTCTCACTCTGGTCTCTCTCTCTGGTCTCTCTCTGGTCTCTCACTGGTCTCTCTCTGGTCTCTCTCTGGACTCTCTCTGGACTCGCTGGTCTCTCTCTCTGGTTGTAGATGCAGTGTTTCCCACAGGTTTGAAGGCAATGTGTGGTGGTCGTCGGCGGGGGGGGGAGTGGGGTACAGTGGTACAGTGGTAGAGGACAATCTTGAGGTCATGAATCCAGTGAAATTAGTCGCACACCTTTTTACAGTAATAAGTTACAGTAGATCAAAAGTGACATGTTTTGACTATTTTGGAGGTATTTTGGACCAAAATGGCTACTTTACCTCAATATTTCTCAATATTTCTACAGTAAAAGTGTCTGGTCTTTGGTACAGTGGTAGAAGGCAATGTTGAGGTCATGAATCCAGTGAAATCAGTTGCACACCTTTTTACAGTGAAAAGTTACAGTAGATCAAATGTGACATGTTTTGACCATTTTTAGGCTATTTTGGACCAAAATGGCTACTTTAAATCAATATTTCTACAGTAAAAGTGTCTGGTCTTTGGTACAGTGGTAGAGGACAATCTTGAGGTCATGAATCCAGTGAAATTAGTCGCACACCTTTTTACAGTAAAAAGTTACGGTAGATCAAAAGTGACATGTTTTGACTATTTTGGAGGTATTTTGGACCAAAATGGCTACTTTACCTCAATATTTCTCAATATTTCTACAGTAAAAGTTTCTGGTCTTTGGTACAGTGGCAGAGGGCAATAATAAGGTCATGAGTCAAGTGAAATTAGTCGCACACCTTATTCCAGTAAATAGTTACAATACTTGAAAATTGCACTAGCGGACCAAATTGTGTACTTTATACATGTAAACAATAGAGTGGCTATCCTCCTGAGGACTCACAATCTGCCGGAGGAATCGTAGGGGGCTGGTGCTATGTGTCATCTCTATAAGGTTTTAATCACAAAAACGTGTCTCCCTGACCCCAGCGCGCTTTCTGTTCGATAAAAATGGGTGACTCCGAAAGGACGTTCCGCTGTTACCGTAAGTTCTCAACAAAACGCGCACCGTCTTTTCCCCGATGCGGGCCGCATGTTCATAGAGCTGAAAGATGCGGGCCACTTTACCGCGGTAAATTAATAGACACAGCTGCTTACAGCGATGATCGCTGATGGAGACGGAGACACGCGGTGTGCACGAAGGGGAGGGGCTGTGTGTGTGTAGGTCTCTGTATGTGGGAGAGACGCGTAGCTTGAGTGAGAGTTACGAAGGGCCGCCACATTTTAAACCCCCCTCCCCGCTGTCAAATTGACCGCTGCGGCGGCACTAGACGATGCATGTTTTAAATAGCGTAACAAAAAAAATATATATATAATAATACGAAACGCAATTTGTGGCGGGCGGTCTCTAATCTGTGGCGCACCGCCACAGATTAGTCTATGGCTGTGTCCAAAACGCTAGGCATCGGGCCGCGTAGGGTGGATATGTAGGCATCGAGGGAAGGCCGCGTAGCCACAGGCGAGGTAGGAGGCGAGACGTGAGGTGGATTTGGACAGCAGCTGCCTTCTGCCTTCGTCACGTGACTACACAACTCAGAGCGGAGCGGAAGGACACGGCGGCCATGATGGACGGTAAAAAGTTCTAAATACGCTTTAATTAGGACATAAAAGTTAATTCTAATATCATTTGAGGCGAGAAATATCCCCCTCTATTGTCATATCAGAAGTCTGTTTGGAGATAAATTCGAAAATGTTCGGACTTTACCTCCAGCCTGAAGCTCCGGTGCTATAAGCTAACAGCCCAGTTAGCTGCAGTGCTGAAGCCCAGAACAGGCTGTCTAAACACGGGTTCAGGTAATGAGAGCCCCCTGGATGTTTACAATCGTATTCTGAAAAAACAGAGGATGCTTTTGTTGCTACACTTTCTCTGTTATAACAACAGTATTGGCAGTAATCATTCGCTTTTACAAAGTTATATTTTATGTAAACAATGCACATATATGCAATAAATGATTATTAGATATGGATTATATATTTGCTATGGCCCTCGTTTGTGCATCACTTAAAAGTAATTTTATCAGAACTAAATGTATTAACGTGTGTTTGCTGATGAGAGAGAAACATCAATTTATCTATAATAATAACTGACACATCCATTTATCTATAATAATAACTGACACATCCATTTATCTATAATAATAACTGACACATCCATTTATCTATAATAATAACTGACACATCCATTTATCTATAATAATAACTGACACATCCATGGATCTATAATAATAACTGACACATCCATGGATCTATAATAATAACTGACACATCCATTTATCTATAATAATAACTGACACATCCATGGATCTATAATAATAACTGACACATGCATTTATCTATAATAATAACTGACACATCCATGGATCTATAATAATAACTGACACATCCATGGATCTATAATAATAACTGACACATCCATGGATCTATAATAATAACTGACACATGGAAACATTAACAGACATCTGTAAAATGGAGTTGAACACAGATGTTTGACACTGCTCTTATTCACTTTTATGTCTCTTGAAAAGCAAACAGATCGTTACTAATCACATTTGAGTTTAATGTATTCAATTATAAGTATAAGTATAAGTATAAGTATAAGTACTGCTGACAAATATGTAGTTGTGTAAATAATACCTCACTTTGATGACTCTTTACATTTCACACAAACAACAAAATCATAATAAAACAAGTTTGATTTGTTTTCTTTATTTCCAGGTTCCTCTGAAGTGCTGTCGATGAGACCTGTGTCAGAGGCAGACGCCCAGGACTCTGCTGCTGCTGCTGCTCCTGCTGCTGCTCCTGCTGCTGCTGCTCCTGCTGCTGCTGCTCCTGCTTCTGCTGCTGCTGCTGCTCCTGCTGCTGTTGCTCCTGCTTCTGCTGCTGCTGCTGCTCCTGCTGCTGCTCCTGCTGCTGCTGTTGCTCCTGCTGCTGTTGCTCCTTCTGCTGCTGCTGTTACTCCTCCTGTTGCTCCTTCTGCTGCAGCTGTTACTCCTCCTGTTGCTCCTTCTGCTGCAGCTGTTACTCCTCCTGTTGCTCCTTCTGCTGCTGCTGTTACTCCTGTTGCTCCTTCTGCTGCTGCTGTTACTCCTGTTGCTCCTTCTGCTGCTGCTGTTACTCCTCCTGTTGCTCCCTCTGCTGCAGCTGTTACTCCTCCTGTTGCTCCTTCTGCTGCAGCTGTTACTCCTCCTGTTGCTCCCTCTGCTGCAGCTGTTACTCCTCCTGTTGCTCCTTCTGCTGCAGCTGTTACTCCTCCTGTTGCTCCTTCTGCTGCAGCTGTTACTCCTCCTGTTACTCCTCCTGTTGCTCCTTCTGCTGCTGCTCCTTCTGCTACATGTCTTGATGCAGAGCCCACTGTTCTAACTATTCATGATTGCTGATTAAAGGAAAATATTATATACAAGTTTGTTGTAGTTCATAATGTGGTGATGAGGTGATGGAGGTGAAGCAGGAGGTGATGGAGGTGAAGCAGGAGGTGATGGAGGTGAAGCAGGAGGTGATGGAGGTGAAGCTGGAGAAATTATGACCTTAATTTCACCACAAGTCTCTGAAAAAGAAGAACACAAACATCATGCATTAAAACACAGGCCACATTTAGGATTCTTTTTACACTTCATATTCAACTAATACTATTTATTTGGGGCTTTGCAAAAAACTGGTCAAAAATAAAATACAGAAATCCTTACAGTATTTAATATTAGAGATACAAGTTTCACAGCAGGGGAAACAGAAGAATGATATGATAGAAATATACACAAATAATCAAGTTATGAGCATGGCTAACAACTTTAAACCTGTGTTTGTGGAAGTGGGACTTTGTCCTCTGCAAATGTCTTATTAATGACAAACGAAACCTCTGTATAATGTGTGTTTACTATTTATTAGACTATTGTATGAAAAGGGCTTTATAATTATTCTTGGCCTATTCTTTCATTTCATATGTCTAATATATACAGTTTTCCCAGTCTCAGTATGGGATTAAAAACGATATGCACAATCTATTTTATATGAATACAGAAAACATGTGTTAGCATGTTAGCATACTATAGCTGCTGTGCTGCAGAGTGATTTTCCATGAAAACGTGACTTTCCTCAGTGTAGCTTTAATATTTAATCAGTGGGTTTGTTTCTCCCTAAAAGATAAAACACAACATGATTTTTCTTGTTCAAAAACCGAATCTGAATGAACTAGCCTCGTAGCATTAGCTTTTCGGGACTGAGCTTATTCACAGCAGATAACAAGGTTAAATACACACATCTGTGGCAGATCTAACTTATGTCTGTGTTTTATCATAACAGTCGTGTTCATAACTCAACAGTAAAGTATAGCAGTACTTACTATAGACATAACTTCACAGTAAAGTATAGCAGTACTTACTACAGACATAACTTCACAGTAAAGTATAGCAGTACTTACTATAGACATAACTTCACAGTAAAGTATAGCAGTACTTACTATAGACATAACTTCACAGTAAAGTATAGCAGTACTTACTATAGACATAACTTCACAGTAAAGTATAG